TGTGTTGCCTTCTCGTCGTGCGGGTACTATTGACACTACACGGCTCCAAAGTAAAACTCATATAACTCACAGTTTTATGTGCATGACCACGGGACGATAATAAACAAGTTTTTATCGAGTTGCCAAAATATTAGAATATTATGAAATTTATGTTTTCACTCAATCAAAATCATTCCCCTTTACAGGGGAAATTTAATCTGCCACAATCACAATCATGAATATGAAAGCAATTAAAATGTAAGTTACACACTAGGAATTATTAGTTCTAATTTTGTATTAAACTGAAAATTAAAATAAAAAACAAAAATTTTAAATGTTTTAGTTTTGAAAGGTTATAGGTTCATTTTTTATGTTACAACATTTACATTTCCAATTTCTATGATGATTTTCTTAGGCCTATTGAAATATATATGATATTTAGAAAATCCATGCAGGAAAGCACCAAAAGCCACGGGCGTTATGAAAATGCTGTTGAAGTTCAGGTCTATAAGCTTCCGATCAATGCTCACTTCGTTGCTGAAAGTTGGCAAATCTACTACAACAGCAGCCAAGACTCAACAGGTATTCGTAATAACTGACGTGAAGGCAGAAAATCGCCGCAGTTCATTGAATCCTTTCGACAAATTGTTTCCACAAAAGGCCCGCAGAGAGAGCAGAACCGGGGAAAGGTCGAAACTGTTAGAAATAAACTCGGAGGGAATTAGGAAACTATTGGATACCGTTAGCATCAAAACTGCAAACCAAACGAGACAGGCGAAAAGTTGCCCAAATTCTATTAAGTCATCACCAATTAATGAAAACAGGTTTTATTCGAGGGAGAATTCAGTTCAAGCAGCCATTGCTCATTGTAAGAAATCTTTTGGGCAAACAGACGATTTTTGTTTTTGAAGTTTTGGTCTGCAGAAATCTTGTTCTGAATATACAACTGAATAAGAAAAAAAGGAAGAAATTACTGTGCAGATGAAGGTCAGGTCAAGCTCTTTTCAAGCCTGAAGCTCAGTGAAACCTAGCCTTGATGGGAGGAATACTAGTTCCTCCTCTTTCCTCAACAAGGTTCGCCTACATCAAATCTTTGATAGCTTCGGTATAAACAATGATGGCACAATCACCCTCGACGATCTCAGCCAGGCTTGGTCTTAATTCCGATCTGGCTGAACCAGAATCTATGATCAAGTCGTATGTTCAACCTGGAAATGCTGACCTTACATACACAGATTTTTGTTGAACAACATGTTCTCCATCATTTCAATTTTCATGTTTTTCTGTTTCAACATGTTCTCCATCATTTCAATTTTCATGTTTTTCTGTTTCTGTCCCTTTTTGAGATCATGTCTTCTTGTCATAGAAAGCATTTCTGAATTGTTTGGGAACGTGACTTATATCATATTGAACAAATCCAGGTTTTTGTACTGTCTAATGTATTTAGAAAATTAATGTCTGATGTTACCAAATACTGTTCCCGACGTATACAAACCGAGGACTCTATTTCGTCGATTTGTGTATCAGTATGCTCGGGATATATGTGCTCGGGATGTCTTTCACATGTCCGAGCTCTTGACCCAAGAGTTTGTGGAACGTCATTCGACGTGTCCTCGGGATTATGTCCTCGACATGTCCCCGGCGTCAAAGCCTTATCCAATAAGAAATTTATTCTGACTTAAACTCCTCAACCTATGTCTCCTATGCTCAGAAGAACTCTATTAAATAATTGGTATCCCAGTTATACCACAATTCAAACTCCTATCTCACGTAAGACTCATTGGTATAAGATTGCAAAATCAAGCTGTCCTATTACAAGTGCACTACGGAATCCTAGTATGAACACACCACCTACCTCTATAAATACAAAACTCTTGATCATTATTCAAGTAAGTTTTACATAATTTTCAGTTCATAGCCTTACGCACAAATTCTCTCTATGACTTAAGTATCGGA